AATGGACTCCAAAAAAAGGAGAAAAGAACAAAAACACACAAAAAAACCTATAGAAAACAAACTAATAGCTAGAAAAAGACTCTCCCACTAGCCTGAAAGCTACTCCACACCACCAAGCAAACCAACACCCAAAGCGATCACCCAAGAAAACACAACCTACGGCGCACACAATAGAATCTATAAACTCCTCGTAAGGCTAACTAGATCCGTACCAATAGACCAAAGCCCTCCAAAATGTTCACCACCGAGTCAACACTTGGAGACCGCACCCAATCCCTCTTCCAACACAACCGACGACCGCAACCTAGATGACCAGAGGCGACAACCGCCCTTACCGAAGGAACCCACCAACCCAACACCACGAAAAGGACATGACCAGGGAAAAAACAAAGCACCAACCTCAACCCCGACTGTTGCAAGGCGGCTACTAGTGCCTGCCGTCACAAATCATTGGCGAGCCTTCCTAACCCATGCCCAACCATGGCTACCAGGAAAAGGAGACAAACCACAAAGGAAGAGAAACAACGACCTGCTAGGAAGATCGAGGCCCATCCAAAAAGTCGACCAGACACCGAACGACATCGTGAGATGTTAGAACATTTTATATGATTGAATAAAGTGAGTTATGAGTGAAAATTGATTGGATGGAAGAATGAATTAATTTTGAGTTTGTGAATGATTCTTGGATAAATATTACTAGTATTGTTGCTCATACAAATGTATGTGTGTACTAAAAATAAAAGATTTTAATAAATATAATTCACGAAAGTTCAGTTGTCAATTTCAACCTCAATGATGAATTATATTCATTAAAAAATTATAATGATCAACTTAGCATTTTTGTTTCTCTAAGTCTATGGCCGGAAAAGATGGATCTACTACTAATTCCAAATTTGAAAAATAAATTTTATCAATGTATGATTATCAAGATATTCATAAAAGTACTCGAATTTTTAAAAATAATAATAAAATATATAGAACCCGTAAGTTCGTTGGCTAGGTCGCAGATTTAGCCGCAGGGCTTCAGGACATCTGATTGGCTCTACATACCTCTTTTCATGGCAAGCAAACAAACCGCGCGCTAGATGGAGAATGTGGCTGCCGCAGGAAATGGACGGTGGATGCATTCAAGGCACACGCAGGGTGCCCACTCCTAATCGCCACAATCGTTTGTAGATGGCAGTGACTTTGACGTTAACAATATCCGAGGTACGTCATTGTGGTAATTTGGCAGCTCAGGAAGAGGACTACTTCGCTGAGGATCAACAATGGGAGGCTTCTTTTCGGGTCGAGATCTCAAAATTCTCCGACAACTTGGAAGTCGCCGAGTTCTTGAATGACAAGGGGTCGGCCGAATATGATAGTTTGTCTCTTTTTTATGATGATGGGTCAACCATATATGAGAGTCTGTCACTTTTTATGATGAGAGGTCGACCGAATATACGCATTTGCCTATTTTTACGTCGAGGGATCGACCGAGAATGAGGGTCACCCTTTCTTTTTTAATGACGAGGCTTACAAGATCGGTGCGGTAGATGGAGTGGTCAAATAAGGAGATGGGAATATCCTCCAAACCAAAGAAGCGGCGGTCGATGAAGCTGCTGGAGGGCCCGTCGAGGGCGAAGGCGAAACCGACGACAGTGCTCGCTCGAGGAGGGGTAACTACAACCATTAGAGTCTAGTTTAGAAAGCAATAATTTGAAGGAAATTTCTCCAATTAAGTTTACATATACATACATGCCTCCCTAAGGATCCAACAGTTCTTTGGAATCATGAATTTGTCCAGGATCTCTTTAAGCTACCACTTGCAATTGTTAATTTTTTATGTGGAGATAAAGACCAAGTCCCCATGTGTCAAGTTTGAACAAAAATGGTCAAACTAATATAAATCCTTCAGGACGTGGAGGGGCATTGGCTGGCATGTTGGGCAGTGCGTCTGCGAAGGAGAAGTTGGCAACAAAAACATTAAAGAAAAATCAATTTTCTGCTCAGGAGTATACCAACTTATCTACCCACACAATTGGTTCAGTCTAGATTGTGGAGAAGATGAAGATGAGATTGCATCGAATTCGAGGGATAATCCTTTTTGAGAGGAGGAGAATGATATATGGAGATGATGACAAATATGATTTTGAGGATCTTTAATTTAATTATTTATTCTTTTTATTTATTTTTAGTTTTTTTAGTCCTATATTTATTAGTAAAGTTATTAACTATCCTACTCTTTTATTTGGTAGAAAGATATTGAATTATCATTTAATTGTCAGAAATGATGGAGCTTATTAGGAGTTCTATTTAAAGACTATTATTCTCTTTTATTTCAAACGTTTAAAATTAATTAATAAAGATATTTGAAAGTCTTTTTATTGTTTTATCCCTTTCGTTTACGTTTTCGCTGCGCCATATTTTATGCGCATTTCTTTCAATTGTTTTTTTGAATTATTTTCCTGTTGCTCCAGGTTGCTATATGGTTGTTTGTTGAATGTTGACGATGTGGACTAAAAATGATTAATGGGTGAAACGTTGGATACATAAAGGATTAGGTAAAACTACTGGTACCAAAAATGAAAATAATGTGAAGTTGGCGTACCGTATATAAATATTTCTCATAAGTTTTTAAAGAAGGATAATTTAGTGGTTTAATTAATTAGACTTCTTTAAATAATTTTAAGAAATTAAAAAAGACACATGTCAAAATTTAAAAGGTGTTTATTGTTAGCTGCATACAAGGGATACCTGATGGTAGAAGAACCCCACAATCTCTCTAAACACCTATCTCTACTAAAAAATTGTGATATTTCCTTTTTCTCTCTTAAGCTTTCTCTCGTTTTCTCCGAAATTCTTGGGGTTGACATTGATTTCTCCCTGGTTGGCTGGAGTCATGGTGATTGTTGTTGGCATTTTTATTTTCTTGTCGATGTCCCTTTTGAGGTCTAATTTGGCTCAAGTCTTGTATCGTGTCAGATTTGATTAGTCATCTATAAGGATTGAGTTTTGGTGTGAAGATTATGATCTATGGTATCTTTTTACGTTGTCGGGTTGGAGGACTAATTGTGGTTGCGGTTATGCTCGAAATCTCTGATAGTCTTTCCCGATTGTGGTGGTGGTGGTCGATCTTAAGCTTGTCGGAGTTGTAGTGACGAGTTTGGTCGAAGAAGAAGAATGGATAATCCATATATATTGTGTATTTGGAGGTAATTACTTTTATTTTTTGTTGTTTTATTTATTATTATTATTATTATTTTCGTTGTAAGTCTCACATTGTTTGAGTATAGCAGTCTCTTTTGAAGAGCGTTGTTTTTATCTATTTATTAGTTGTAGGAATTTATCATCACATAATATAAATTCAATAACAATTATCCTAGAACATGCTTTAATTCCAGAAAAATCAACATCGTCTAGATCTGAAAGATTATTAGAAATACCTGGATCCATTGAGTTTCTTTTGCGGAACACGAACTCGATTGATTAATTGGATCAATTGGTATTATGGTCTTCCTCAACTAAATCGTCTTATTCCTCAGATGGGACCGTCGTCTTCTTTCAGATGGGGAGAAAAGAAAACTGTGTTTGTATTAGTGTATTGGGGACCATAACCAAGAGGGTCTATATATACTAATAGGGTAGGCCACTCATTATCACCTAACCCTAGTAATATTAGGTATCCACTCATTAAGTCCATATCAATTTATGTAGCCCATGAACTCTACTTAATTTAGATCACTTAATTGAGTCCATTAATTAATTGAATAGCTAATATAATATAATTGTATATAATATGTTGCCCATAAATAGATTATACAATAAAATATTTCCTAACATTAGTTGCATTTTGGTTTGGTGTGTAAAAGACCTCTGCCTTGGTTACACGACCGGAATTTGCTTTCTGGCCTGCCGTAGCCCTACAAAATAGGTCGGGAGGGGTTTCCAGCATTAGCACTCGACGATCAACTCAGTCCACAAATGAAGAAAAAGATAAATAGTTGTGTAAAGCTATGTAAATATAGAGTATGTCGAAAATGTAATGTGTGAATGAGCATACTCACTCCCTTATATATGGATATGTTACCTTGTTGCCTAAGATTGTCCCGACGAGCTACCCAGATTGTCCGATATATCCCATTTGTTAAGCTACGTGTCCCTATCTACGTGTAGTACGCTATTATTTTAATATTATTTTTTATTATCCATTAGTCTGTCGTATTAGACGATCTAATCGAGATACCGAATCGATGCACCTCGAGCTAGAGTGCTCCTTGTGCTAAGCTCGTATGCCCTGCTCATCTGGTCGATCCATCAACCAGTCATTCTCTTCGGTCGAGTTTCAACCTGACCATCCGAAGCCCTAACTCGACCTGTCTTTGCTTCTTTGAACCTACAACGTCCTCATCGACCTGATAACGTTTTGCCATGTATTTAAGTTCGACCTATACTTAACTCCTTCGAGTGAACAAGTAGCATTTTAATCTGGTCGGTCGTTTGTAATAATGTTTTTATTTCTATTAATAATATCTATAACCGTTTTGTATTAAAAAAAAAGGAATGTTCAAGTCAAAATGTAGAGAGAAAGGGGATTGAATTATTTTTATTTTCGTCGCACTATTAACTTCTATTTAGTAATAAAATCATGTATTGAATTATGCCTTATGGAAAAGCCCTTTTCACAATTTCAAGAGTTTGAATCACATGCCTAGATTCCATGCTATAAAAAATAGTATTTAAAAGTGTAAATATTTTCCTCAATGAAAAAGAAGATTAGTGTTGTTTTTTTGATGAAAAGTGGTCGTCTCTTTGTGACCATAAACCATGATGTGTTGTGAGATTACCAATCAATCAGACCAAATTTCAATGCATTTGATCCCAATAAAGATTAGATGTTGAATTTGTACACGTTCTGTGAGAATACAGAAGAAAATCTGTACAAATGCATCTCACAAGTGTAGAAAAATCCTCGGCTTATAACTATTGGCAATGATGCAAATCAAATAGTCGAGGATTGACGGACCGTAAACTTGATATAAATGGCTAACAATGCATCTCAGAAGTGTAAAACTAATTGATTTGCCACTACGTTTGGCATAATGCTTGCCAACCAATTTAAAGACCTATAATTTATACTATTATCATTTACAATTGTGATAATTGTTACAACCCTAAGTGTGCCGGTTGGGCGCGCAACCTCTTAGCGAGTCCAACTCCGAGTAGGCGCTAAATTGGGTTTAGTGCTAAGTAGGAAATATATGTACCAAAGTTCAGGTGGTTCCGGGCGAGCTTAGCGAGGATGCTAAGTTGTAAGGACGATTTGGTACATCTCAGAGCTGAATGGAGGTTCGGTCGAGTGTTTGTTTCGCAATGAAGGCTTGTGAGATATTCATCTTTTCAACGTCTATTGGCTAGTTGAGACAATCTCTCATTTTTCCCTTCTAGAGGGAGGTAGTGCACTTAAAAGGGTGTTGGACTAGTCATATGATATGCGCTTGAGGATAACTTGGGGTCACGTGTGTGTTAGTGTTATATACTGAAAATTTGACTTTGAATGATATTACACTCTTGCCTTTTATGAATGAGAAACATGTTAGATTAAACAAGTTCTATGTTCTGTTGTTTTGCAATTAGATAGTGTGGGTCGTCATTGGGCGAGCCGAAGATCATTCTATCAGTTACTTGAGAAAAAAGAATTATGGTTCACAACATAGATGGAAATAAACACCTCATCTGAATGGTTGTAGTGTCAACGACACAGTTTATCTTGACTGGTTAGTTGCACTAGTACATTTATGTATTGAGCAGGATCCCAGAGAGGAGCAGTTTGTTTTATATTGATCGTCGTAAACGAACTAGGCCTCGGTTAATTACTGCGTTCTCTTAACCCGTAAGATCATTGTTCTAAAATTCGGCCTAGGCGGCCGCCTAGGCGGCGCCTAGGCGCTAGGCGGTGCCCGGGCGCCTCCGATTTGTACAAATCGGCCAAAAAAATCGGCCA